GCACAAACCGCGCCGCCCGCGCCGGCCGGGCCCGCAACGGCGCTTTGTGCTCAAGCTGCAGGTCCTTGAGCGGCTCAAAGAGCGGGAGCTGGACGCCAGCATGCCGGGCTCGCTCACTCGCACTCTGCGGCTGTCGCCCACCATCTGAGCGGCCATGCCGGCTACCGCGCGGCGTTTGCATCAGTGCCCTCTTCTTCGACGCGTTAGAGACCAGTCTGCCTGGCGTGGCCGACGCGCCCTCACCCGGACGGGCCCTGGTAGCCACCGAGTACACCGACGATGACATTGGATGACGGCAGTGGAGTATTGTAGTGATTGGGGAGGGCCGAGGGGTGTGGTTGGGTGGATGGAGTGGTTGGGGTGGGGTGGGGTGGGAGGGGCATCTGTCTGCCGTCGCTCCTCAATGCCCAGCTACTTGTCCTCCTCGTCGTTGGCCTGGCGGTTGGTGGCCGAACCGCTGGTTTCGGCGCCAACTGCAGACCGCTCAAACATGGCCTACCCGCACCAAAAAAAGGTCGTGGTTTCTCGCCCTGCCGCGTCGGGCGAGCCACAACGCGGCTCAAGCCACAGGCGTTCTTGTCGCCTTCACCCACACCAACACGAGCCACGAGCTGCGAGCTTCGAGCTACGAGCCACGACCAACACCTGTCTCCTTCACCTCACACACATCATGCTACGGTGCGTGCCGCGGGCGGTGGCCTGCGTACCGCCGAGGGTGACCGGTCACCTCGGCCGCGAGCTGTCCAAGGTCGCGTATCTGACCGATGTGGAAGGCAACTGGGCGTACTTTGTGCGATGTGTTGAGGCCTCGCCGGTGCTGTCGTTTGCAGAGGCGACGTCCGACGAGGCGGTCGAGGCACTGGCAGCGGCGCGGATCGAAAGCGGCGTCGGCTCGCAGGCCGAGGCTCTGGCGGCGCTGCGGGCCTTTCCGCCGCACGCGCTCCGGCTAGCGCCCGATGCTGGACTGGTCTTTGGCGGCGATGTCTTTGACCGCGGCCTTGGCGACATCACTTGCCTCACTGCGCTGGTGGGCATCAAAGAGCGCTATCCGGATCGGGTGTTTTGGACCCTCGGCAACCGTGACATCAACAAGGCCCGGCTGGCGTCCGAGCTGGCGGATCCGGCCGAGCTGGCCCGCCACCCGGCGGCGGTCGGCGGCCCGTACTGGGTCCCCAAGCTCTTTCGCCACCCGTGGGAGCTGTATCTGGCTCGCAAAGGCCTTCTTGGTTCGTCTTGGCAGCACGACGGGTTTACTAAGCTCCGCTACCTGCTGCAGCGGACGATGGGCTGCGACGGGCGAACAATCGCCCACCGCAGACTCGAGCTTGCCGTGCTGGCCGGAGGTGGGCCAGAGGACGTGCGCAGTGTGTCGGACGCCGACGTGCTGCGATCGTTCACGACGCTTGTGGCGCCCGATCCAGACTCGCTCTTTGCACGCTACCTCCGCTACGGCTCAGTGGCGGTCCGCCTCGGCGACGCGCTGTTTGTGCACGGGGCGGTCGACCAGCCGTCGCTGGCCGTTGTTCCGAGCTGGGTCGGCTACCGCTCAGACCGCAGGGCCTCTGCTGACGTGCCTTACGCGGCTTACCCGCCGATGGTCTCGGCACCGGCGCCGACCGCGCTTGAGGACATGGACGTCGACGCCTGGGTTCGCGACATCAACGCCTGGATCCAGTCCGAGGTCTCGGACTGGCTTGATCATCCCCACTACGATGCCGACCGCTGCCACCGCGGCGGCGAAGGCCTCATCGGCTATGCCAATCAGTCATGTATGTCGTCGCGGACTGTCGTCTACAACTCGTGGCTCACCAATGGCCACCCGGTGGCTCCTGGCCCGGGCCTCGCCGGCGCGCTCGCCGGCGCGGGCATCCGCCGCGTCTTTTCCGGCCACCAGCCGTTTGGCGACCACCCGCTAGTCATGAAGGCCCACGGCGTGAAAGTCGTCACCGCAGACACCTCGTACTCGGACGTCAACGCCGACGACAATCGCGGCGCCGCTGTCGCCAGCATCGTCTGTAACCTTGATCCGTCGGCGCCCGACACCCACATCACCGGTCGACTTGCCTGTGGCGCCGGCTTTGATTTCCTCGTCGATGCCGACGACCTCATCGGCCGCCACTGCTACTCTTCGGTTGGCAGCGAGTGGATCACTGCCTACCTTCCGGGCTCTTCCCACTACGTCCTCCGCTCCGGCGCCGGCTTTGACGTCTCGCACCGGCTGGTCTCGCCCGACGAGGCGCTGGCTGTTGTCACCAGCGGAGTGTGACAAGGCAAAAAATACCTTATGCCGCACCATGAGGAATAAGCCACTCGCCACCGTCGAGCTACCATTTGCTGGCTCATTCACCATTGCTTCTCGCCAACGTACGTTATCAGCAGCCAAACGAACGAGTGTCACCAGCGAGCAAGACGCTCTGAGGCTAGCCAGGGGCAGCTTTTGAGGGAGGCAGACAGCGAGGGAGAGCAAAGGCAGGAACAGAGCTAGCCATAGCTTCCCCTCCTATCCCAAGTATCCTTCCCCTCCTCTACCCCTCTATCTCCCTTGCTCCTTCTACCGTACCACCACTGGCCTATCCGCTCCATCGCTGACCCTCTCCCTCTGCGCCACACTCCACCCACAACAGGGTATCCCCACTCCAGCACGCCCCCTCCCACACACAAACACATACTCACTCCCGTCCCCTCCTCCTCCTCCCTCCCCTCCATCCCCCCTCCCCTCCCCTTCTCCTATCTCCCCACTCTCATCCATTCTCTATCCCCTGGCTACGGTCACACTCCCCAACACACCTACTCGTGGCCGTCTCGACTTCTGTTCCGCAGTCGTTCACCTCGCACCAGGTAGAGCGGAGGCAGCAAAGGGCGGACAACCAGGTCGAGCCCGTTCCTCAGCGAGGGAAAGGCTTGGCAACCGACTGGTACAGAGCGGGTGGGACTCTGGAAGCACATACTTGGTTGAGGCCACTGAGGCTTATGGGCTGTGGTTCATCCAAAGCCCAAGGCGCAAGGCCGGACAAGACCGACAAGAGTCCAGGGAGAAACCTCAATGGGGCACAGGTGGCTGGTCGCAGTGTGACGGACGGAGAGCAAGATGAGCCAGTGTCAGAGTGGATGCCCGAGGGTGTGCCCATGATTGGCCTGCGACCGGGAGGCGTGCCGGTAATCAACGCGCCTGTCCGTGCTGATGGCATGGCCAGCGAGCATGTGCTCTCGCCATTGGTGCCGTCGGTCTCGCAGCTCGAGCTCAATCGTCGCGCACGATCGCGGCGCAACTCGCTCGCCGACGAGCCGTTGTTCCCGGTCAAGCCGATCCACGTCCTTGCGGTGGAGGGCGATTTAGAGGGCATGCGCCACGCCGCACGACGCCACGCCACTGGGGCTGGCGCGCGGGTCTCGCGCTCGGGTTCGGGTCGCAACTCCCTCAATCTCATGCACCAACGGGTGGTCCGCCAGCGACTCGCTGTCGAGTCCGAGTCGGGCGCCGACTTGTCCGACGACTCGGAGCTCTCTGTCTCGGACGACTGCAAGAAGCCGCTCCGCGACGTCGCTGACGACGACGGGTGGAACGCGCTGCACTGGGCAGCCTCTGCCGGTCAGGATGACATGGTCCGCATGCTGGTCAAAGAGTTTGGCTTTGATGTCAACTCTCGCGATTTGGAAGGCTGCACTCCTCTCCACTGGGCCGCTGACAAAGGCCACAAGCGCACCATCCTGGTCCTCTGCTCTGAGCTCGGTGCTGATGTCAATGCTGTCGACAACTACGGCCAGACGCCACTCTACGACGCCTCCTCGCGCGTCCAGAACGATGTTATCACGCTGCTTATTTCCGAGCTCGAGGCCTCGCCACACATAGCATCGAACACTGGCAAGAAGCCCATCGATGTGTACAACGAGATGATCCGTTCGCAGGCGATCGCCGGCGATCCCGACGTACTTCTTCTTTTGCGTGCTGTCTCGTCGCTGCCGTCGTCGCCGCCGCCGGGCGTGGTCCACCGTCGGCCAAGCTTGTCACGCGGACGAGGCGGGCGCCGGCTCCGCGGCTCCGGCGGCCGCCGCGGCTCCAACGCCTCGTCGCGCCGCGGCAGTGACACCGGTTCGGCCTCGGGCCGGTCCCGCCGTCGCTCCATCCGCGCCAAGCCAGCACCGGTGGGCCGTCGCCGCTGATTGCTATGGCACCACCTCGCTGGCGAGCTCGTACACCAGAATGTATGCCTTCGGCGTAACCACATCGCGCGCCGCTCCCACTGGCTCCACGTGTGCGTCATCAAAGAGGAACCACTGGTCGCGCTCACCATGCTTGACGTACGCGGTGTAGTGCCCGCCACCAACAACCCCAATGTGATTGACGACGCCGACCAGATTGTACACGCCCGGCACTGGCGCACCCTCGCGCACAAACGGCGTGAGGTCGAGTCCGGTCAGCGGAAAATCGATAAACGCCTCGAGCTTGGTGGAGTGGAACCCGTACGGCGTTTGGTGGCTTTGGAACCGCTTGAGCTGGATGACAAGGACGCGCGGGAGCCGGTCAAGCGCAAGCTCTCTCGCGCCGTAGCCCTTGACATTGCACGCCTCACAGCGCCACTCCGCCGATGGATCCAGCGTCTCGCGGCCTGTGAACAGTTCCAGGCACCGCACCAGGTCCATGCCGGAGCTTGACACAGAGGCCGAGCTGCTGCCTCCATCCTCGACCTTGACCTCGACCGGCGACTTTGCGAGGAGGCTCCGTAGATGGAGTCCTTCGTTTGTCGCCCAATCGACCACCAGCCGCGAGTTGGCCTCGAGCACGCACGACCGGTCCGGCGCAAACGACCGCAGCACACGCCCCGATGCCGAGAGCTGGCGAATGACAAGGCTGAGGCCGAGCGCGTTGGGTGATACGTTGTCCAAGTCGCGAATGCTCGGAAAGTCGATGCTCGATGCGCTCGGCACCTCCAGCTGCTCGGTCACCGCCAGCGCACCCGAGCAGACCTGGAAGACTGCAGCCTCGAGAGCATCGTACGTGCTGTTGGCTGGAACAACCGCCAGTGACGGCTCGCCAAAGACAAAGCACTCGCCGCCGATCTCGGTCCGGTGACTCACACTCACCAGGACCGACTCGCTGGCCTTGAGCTCGCGGTCGGTCGGCAAGCGGAAGACAACGAGATCGCCGGCAATGTCAGCCACCGGAGCAGTGCCGAGCACCGCGTTGGCCACCACTCGTGAGTGCTTGATGGAGGCGAGCCGCAGGGTGTGACTCGGCACTCCCAGCTCGTCTGCTACCGCAGTGAGGACAGTTTGCACAATCGGGCGCGGCTTGGCAGGAAGCGTCAGCTGTAAGGCTTCGCGTTCCGAGCCAAAGGCCTCAAACGGACCAGCAACCGTTCGGAGGGTGAGCTGGACAGGAGCGCGCGAGGCTGGTGAGCCAACGCCGACCGGCTTGCGTTCCTCCACCGGGAGCTCGAGCTGGAGCGAGCGGAACGGATCAAAGGTGACGGAGGCTTTGCCACAGCCGTCGGCGGTGCACGCGACGCGCGAGATGAGCTGACCTTCAAAGACGTCAACAATGACCGACTCGTCGCGGGCCAGGTGGCTGCTCCACGCAAGCATCGAGCTGAGATTCAGGTCTTGGTCGCGTGCTGAGGTGTCAGGTGGTGGCGGGCGCGGGCGCGGACTTGCACCGAGCGCGTACGGCGAGCGGTTGAGGTCCTCGTGTAGGCCGTCGAGGACGTAGGTGAGGACTTCGCCAGCATCGTGCTGGGACGAGCCAACAAAGCGCGGTGCATGGTGATTGAGGACTTGCTTAAAGTGGCGCGGGGCGACAGCGGCGCCGGCGCCAGACCACAGCGTCTTGACGAGGTCGGCAAATGCGTACGCGAGCTTGCCCTTGGTCCCATGCGGGTTGACCGTGTTGATCGAGTCAGATAAGTTATCTGCAAGGAGCTGGTCGCGGAGCGCCGGCAAGTGCGCGAGGGTCTGGAGGACCGCATTCATGAAGCAAGTGTTGCCGAGGTTAGCCAGACCCATCAGACCCGGAGGCACCGGCGCGTTTGCCACCACGACGTCGTCCATGACTGACAGCTCGTCAAGCGGCGAGCTTTCTGTGAGATCGACGACTGCTGGCGCTGACTCGACAGAGGCGGCGAGCATGGTGTCAAGCAGCCAGACGCCATCGACCTCAAAGTCGAGGAACAGCGTGTCACCGCACTGAATGCCCGCGGCCGTGAGGGTGAGCGCCGGGTCGTCGATAAACGACGACGGGGCGCTGTTGCGGATGACCGCAATGCGTGCCGTGCCACCCTCTAGCCAGCACACAGCGGTGACCAGGTGGTGGATGGAGACTGCACGAGAGAAGGAGACGGTCCGCGCCATCAGCGGCTGCTGGACCGGGAGTGCGCCGAGCGCCGGGAGCCATCCCATGTCGCGGGCGCGAGTGGCGAGTTCGGGATCGGGGCCAAACGGCTCGGCCGGGGCGAGCAGATGCAACTTGAGCGGATAGATCTCGACTCTGCACGACTCGCCTGCAGCAATGACCGATCGCTTGATCTCCGGCCCACCGCCGCACCGCGAGTGGAAAAGACGGTAGACGTTGCCATGGAGGAGACGAAAGTGGCTGCCCTCGACGAGATCATCGACCAGCTCGCCGGTCTCATCGAGCAGCTCAGAGTTGTCGATGGCCGGGAGATCGGCAGTGGTGATGAGGTCTGAACCCAATCCCGCGCCTGAGCTGGAGTCCTGGCCAGAATCTGCTGACAGTGCCAATGCGGTCGCAGGCTTCGCCTTGGCTGCCTCGCTCAGCGCACTCAGCACGGCTGCATGCCATGCGACCGGGACGAGGTAGTACGACTCGCCAGGAGAGAGACTGTCTGGCGTGGGCATAGCAGCTAAGGCTCTTGCCATGTCGGCCAGGTCCATGACTGGTGTGTGAGAGGAATGCAAAGTGTGGACGCGGACGCGGACGCGGGTGCGGACGCGGCGAGTCTGTGCGACATGGGCTTGACATGGAGGCCGGCAGCCCCCATCATCATGGATGAGGTTGGTGGGATTGGGTGCGCGAGGCCGTTTGTTAGAGAGGGAGGAAGAGGGAAAGGCAAGAACGGCTCGGCAACGGTCCAGAGAGGCTAGGCTAGGAGGGTGGGGGGCGTCAGTCTCGGCGAGTTGAGTTGGCGGAGGAACCCGGCGAGGAGGGGGTATCGTTGGCGGCGAGGACGGCAAAGATGGCCTTCTTGAACTTGCGCTTGTTGTTCATGCGCGACATGCGGTCCATGACGCCGTCGATGGCATCCGGGGCGTCGCCGGCAACCGAGGCGATCCAAGGGTGCTGCAGAGCCTCGACGGCGGAGAGGCGCTGGTCAGGGTCAACAACCAGCAGGTTGTTGACCAGATCTTTTGCCGAGTCGGAGATCGAGTCCCAGTACGGCGAGGGAAAGTCAAAACGGCCTTGCTGGATCTGCTCAAACAGCTCCGGCGTGTCCTCCGAGTAGAACGGCGGAAAGCCGCAGAGGAGGATATACATGATGACACCTGCGGACCAGAGGTCGACCTCGTCGGTGTACCCGTTGTACGACTGCGAGAGCACCTCAGGTGCGACGTACGACGGCGAGCCGCACGCGGTCTTGAGCGTGGTCTCGTGGCCGACGACCTTGGACAGCCCAAAGTCGGCGATCTTGACCACAGGCGTCACGCCCTCACTCTGCTTGGTGGCGCAGAGAACGTTTTCGGGCTTGAGGTCGCGGTGGACAATGTTGCGGGCATGCAGGTACTCGAGAGCCGAGAAGATCTGGGTCATGGTGACGGCGGCGTCGGCTTCGGAAAAGTGGCCGCGCTCGACGATCTGATCAAACAGCTCTCCGCCGGTGCACAGCTCGAGCACCATGTAGATGTGGTGCTTCGACTCGTAGCAGTCGTACATCTTGACACACGACTCATGGCTAACGTTACGGAGGACATCGACCTCAGTCTGGAGCATGACATGGTCCTTGTCCACCAGCGACTTCTTGGAGATGATCTTGACAGCGTACACGTTGCCCGACTCCCGATGCCTGCAGCGGCGGACGGTGGCGAACGTTCCACTAGCAAGGAGACACCCGTGACAATCGTGAGACACATAACCATTACAAAGGGAGATAAAAATCAAATGGTAGTGGTAGTACTGGTGGTGGTGGTAGTGGGTGGGGAGGGGGAGTAGGTGGGGGTGGGGGTGGGGCTGACACCGCCAGCCGTTTTTCAACCCTGGAGGGAGGAGGACATGGGCGGGAAGGAGAGGGGGGGGGGAGGGGAGGGAGAAGGGGGGAATGGGGAGGAAGAAGAGGAAGAGGGAGGGAGGGGGGGGGGGAGGGGGAGGGAGGGAGGAGGTAGGTAGGGAGGGAGGGAGGAGGGAGGAAGGGGGGGCGTTGGGGAGGAGGAGGGAGGGGAGGCAGGGTCGAGGCTGGGTGGAGCGGGAGAAAGAGGGGGGGAAAGGGGAATGGGGATGGGGATGGCGCTGAAGGGACATACCTTCCAATTTCACTGGCATCAATATGGTAGTCTGTCTTGATGTCTGTCTTTGCACCAGGGATAATGCGATGGTCTTTGTCCTTCTTCTTCTTACTCGACGACTCGTTCTTCTTCCGCAGTCGGCCTAGCATGCTGACAATGGTCGGTGCGTTGAGTAGCAATGACTCCCGTGTGATTGCTCTCCAAAGTCCATGGCCATTCAATCAAATCGTCAATCAAAGTCCTTCAATCCGAATTCATCCATGCCATTCGTTTGTTCCACTCGTGTTCACGGCAACTACCTCAGAACGCATCAACTGCTCATCGTCAGTATGGGTTGTGCCAGCCATGGGTTGATACATGCGTCACCGTGGGTCGGGAAACAGAAGATCGCGCTTCTACCTCCCTAGTGGTAGTATCCTACCCATACGATCGTCTCTACCCGAGCGGGCCTCCCTGGCCTCTCAAAGGGTTTGATGGAGATCGGGAGAGATGAGCGGGATGATGGTGATGGCTGGCATGTCGGGGAGGAGAATGGCGGCGGGTTTGTTGTGTGGACAATGGAGAAGGAGACAGAATCGAGCTAGACATCGGGCCTGATGTCAGCATCTCGAACGCCAGCGCCTTGCCAAGGTTCAAGCGACCCAGACCGCAACCGGCATGTCTCCCCCTCCTCATCCAAACACTCAATGTCGACACACTCCCTTCTCCCGCCACATTCCCCACCGCATCCTGCACCTCCCATCCCCTCATCATGGCCCCGATGGCCCATCTCACCATCTCATTTGCTCCAACAATTCCTGTATCGTAGGGCAACGATAAAATCCTCGTGTCACCCGCCGCCCGTCTGCAGGTCGCCCGCCGCCAAGGAGACGTAGGGCCAAGGCCCGCACAACTCACTCACGCCCCCCTCCTCCTCCCCCCCCCCCCTTTTCAAAGACAAAGACAGAAGTTATGTTGCGTGCAGGCGTGGGAGCAGGCGCAGGACTGGCGGTGGCCTGGGCAGTGTCGGGCACAGCGATGTGCGGAGAGGAGGCGACGACGACGAGCGAGGGTGTCGTCAAGGGAGAGCGGATTGTGGACTCCAAGCTGGCGGCCGAGTACGAAGTGGTGCCGGAGACACCCGGTCCGCTGCGGCCTGCACTTCGCGTCCTCCGCGAGCGAGTGCTGTCTAAGATCTGGCTTGTCCGCAACCACATCGAGGCCCTTCAGCAGCGGTATCACGAGCTCGACGCCGAGGCTGCCGACCGCATGGCCGCGGCCGAGGAGTTTGTCAAGCAGCGCGAGAGCCTCTTCCCTGGTGTCATTGTCATGGCTGCCGCCGGCGCTGCCGGGCTCTACCTCGGCCGCGGCCGCGGCATCGGCCTGCAGCTCGCTACCGGTCTGGTCGCTGCCGGCGCCGTCGGTGTCTACCACTACCCGGACACCATTGACGCCCACGTGGTGAGCCCGCTGCGCGAGGCCCTCGCCGGCACCAGCGGCAGCGCTGCGGCCGAAGGCTCGGACGCCAAGTAAACCTGGTTTTATCTGCGGAAGCTGTGCCGCCCACGTGGCGGCGGCGAGAACGATCGGCTGCCGAGCGAGCTGCCGAGCGAGGCGACCGGCGGCGCCGCCGAGAACCGCGTGTGCAGCGCCGACGAGGTCTCAAGCGAGCGCGCCGGCGAGCCAAGCGCAAGCGACGCCGTCCGCGAGAGGACCCGCGTGTCAAACGGCGGCGGGAGCGAAGATCGCGTCGGCCGGAACGCAGACCGCACATGCTGCCGCTCGACCTTGAGCGGATTCGCCCGCGTCGGCGAGCTGGTTCGCGTCGACCGCACTGGTGTCGACGAGATCTTGGACCGGATGACTGCGTCGCGCGACGGCGTCCGCACCGTGGCCGACGCAAACTTGGATGGGCGCCCGCCGTCGATGCCCGGCGAAAAGGCAAAGTGCTTGACCCGCTGCGACGGCCGCGACACGTCGGTCGCCTCGGCAAACGGCGAGTTGTACGTCCGGCTTGGCGAGACGCGGGCCCGGAACTGGCCCATCGAGCCTGCACCAAGCGCAGTCTTGGCCTGCATCGCCGCCAAGCTCGAGTTGGGCGCCGGCGAGAAGAGAAGCGACGTCGGCGTCACCGGCCGTCCGCTGCTCGCCGCCCCGTACGCTGCAGGGAACATAGACCGTGAGCGGGCTGGCGAGGTGGCGCGCAGCGGCGACCGGTGCGAGCTGCCGTGCGATGCTGAGAAGACAGACTCTGAGATTCGCCGTGGGGACGGCGGCCGCGGCGGCCGCGGTGGGCTCCGTGTCGCCAGCCGCACCCGTCCATTCTCGAGATGTGTCTCATTCAGCCGCGTCTCCTCGGCACCCAGCGACGATCGGTATGCGTCAAAAAACGACGGCTGAGACGGCGGATAGCCGGCATCGGGATCATCGTCGACTTCAAACTGCGCGTCAAGCTCCACCTCGTGTTCACCGTCGACCACTGCCGCTTCTGCCATCGCGGTCCGCGGCTGGAACAGCGACTCGCCCGACGACGCCGGCGCTAGGAACGGCTCGCCGCGCGGGTAGTCTTCCGATGTGTGGGTTACATCGGTTGCTGGCGCCGGCGTAGGTGGCTCGACCTCGACCTCGATCTGGTCCGGGTCGACCACTACCCACGAGCCTTCGTTTGAGACACCAGTCTCGTCGTCGTCCGAGCCCGGCTGAGCTGCGTCGAGGTCCGGCTCGGCCGAGTCGGCTCTCGACCCGTCGTCCCTGGTCCTAGAATTCCCGACGGGGCCATCGAGCGTGGCAGAACCGTCAGCCGCCTCATCACCGACGCCGGCGGCCGCCTGTGGATCGCCGCACAAGTACGCTGCGATGTCCTCCCACTCGGCGGTCCGCAGAGCCTCGGGAAGGGCAGTCAACGGGCACTCCTTGAGGCCAACCATCTCCAGTGTTGACATCATTCCCAGCTGTGGAGGAAGGTCCTCGAGCTGGTTGTTGCCCGAGAGACCAAGCGCATACAGGTTGGGTAGACCAAGCACCTGCAGCGGAACGGCGTCAAACGAGTTGCCCGCTAGGTTAAGCGTCCGCAGGCTCGACATCCGACCCAGGTCCTCCGGCAAAGCCGAGAGCCGGTTGCGCGAGAGATCGAGGCTGGTCAGCGCCGTGCAGGCGGCTAGACCCTCCGGCAGAGCAACCAACTTGTTGCTCGCCAAGTTGAGCGTCTTAAGCGCACTGCCGAGCTTGCCGGGGCCCATCACAGCCCGCAGTGGGCTCGGCAGCGTCATCAGCACGTTGTGCGAAAGATCGAGCCGAGTTATACCGGCGCACGGAGCAAGCGCAGCGGGAAACTCGCTCAGTCCGTTGTGATGAGCCATGACGACGCGCAGCGACGAGCCGCCGGCAAACGGCGCCTCGTCGACGCTCTTCAGCCGGTTGCCCGAAATGTCCAGGTGCTCGAGCTTGGGCAGAGCGGTGCAGAGCTTGGCCGGCAGCGCCTCGAGCACGTTGTCTGACACGTCCAGATGGACGATGGACTTGGACTTGAGCACCGGCTTGGGAACCTCGCGGAGCGCCGAGCTCTTGAGGATCACCACCGAGTCGCCCTTCTTCTTGGCCTCTTTCGCTGCCTTGGTTGCCGCCTTTATCTTGGCCTTTTCATCCTTGGTCGGCTTGGCCGACTTGCTCTTGCCCTTTCCCTTGCCCTTTCCCTTCCCTTTGTCCTTTGACTTGCCAGCTCCCATATGCTCGGCCAGTCGCTATCGCACCTTGCGGCTTCACTCTCCGCACCCGATCACCGCCGCGCTCTGTGGCTCAGAATCTCCCGAACAAGCGATACAACGACCAGTTCAGACTCACTGGCGTTGCTCTCCTGGAAATCTACACTATGTGGCTCAACTTTCCTTTTGACCTCGAGTGATGTGTGATGAGTACGAGTAGTTGCCGTGGCAGGCCCTGTGCCCGTATACGGCGGTGACGTGCCAGGCGCAGTTTGGCCCAACGGACAGCGAAATTTTCAATTCGGTTCGTCACCGCATTTGTCCGCACCGTCTACTGGGCCGCATCATGGCATCAACTCCCGGAACCAGCCCGGGAACCGGATCAAGACCGGATGAACTTCTTCTCTTGCCTTGTATGACCACGCGATAGTGTGAGGATGAGTCGCCGTATGCCCGCGTTTGTCCGTACCGTCTGCTGGATATGGCTGGCCGCATCATGGCATCAACTCCCGGAACCAGCCCGGGAACCGGATCAAGACCGGATGAACTTCCTCTCGTGCCTTGTATGACCACGCAATAGTGAGGATGAGTCGCCTTGTTCTCCATCCATGGCCACCGCGACGACATGGCGCTCTCCTGACAGCCAACAATTATTGTAACACATTGAATTTTATCGTTCTCACTCTCGATCACACGCATGGGCCGTGGGCCTGCGGGAAGGCAGCGGGTCGTGAGGCGAGCCAACAGGCTGCGGCACCTCGCTTCCAGGCTACGCGCAAGCTCGGGGGAAGAGCCGGCTTCAGCGTAGGCGTGACGGAGCCGAGACTGACGAGGCTGGTGGACGAGGCGGCGCGAGGGACAGCGACATGGCTCGAGGGGCAGGGATCGGAGGCGAGGGTGCCGGCCGGCGATATGTAAAGACGGCACACAAGGTTGGCTTTGCCTTTGGAGCGGTGCCGTCTGCGCTGACGGCGACGATCATCGGATTCTTTTTTGCCCCGTTCTTGCTCGAGACTGCCCTGCTCTCGCCGCAGCAGGTCGCTGCGATTCTGCTCATCGGTCGGTGCTGGGACGCCGTGACCGACCCGTCGGCGGGCTTCCTGGTGGCGCGGACGTCGAGCCGGTTTGGCCGGCTGCGGGTGTGGATCGCCGCTGCGATCTTTCCGGCAGCCATCTCGTATGGCCTGCTCTGGCTGACTCTTCCCGAATGGTCGCCGGCGGCGCGGTTTGCCTACTACACTGGCGTCTACTGCACCTACCAGATGCTGTTCACCGCGTACTATGTCCCGTACACCTCGCTCACTATGCAGATCTCGCCGATCTCGGCTGAACGTGACGCTGTGACTGCGGTCCGCATGATTGCCGAAATCCTGGCGGTCCTCATCGGCGTCGGCGGGCAGGGCTTCATGGTCGCCGACTCAGACGCTGCCGACGGGTACCGGCTCGCTGGTCTGGTGAACGGATGCTTGGCGGTAGTCTCTGGCCTCATTCTCCTCATCACCGTCCCGCAGCTTGGCGCGGCGTACGAGGTCACCGACGACCGGTGTGCCCACCTCTCACTCCTGGCCGGCCTCCGGGTCTCGATCTCGTTCAGGCCGTACTTTGTGCTGACCATGATCTTTCTCTGTGCGTGGATCTCGGTCCTCCTCGTCCAGACCAACATCCTGCTGTACATCAAGTATGCGCTCGACATTGAGGGCCACTTTCAGTTTATTCTCATCACTCTCCTGTTCACAGCCTCGGCTTCGATGCCGGTGTGGGCCTGGCTCTCAGGCCGGCGCGGGCGGAAGCCCACGTTTGTGGCGGGCGTCATTTGCTTTGCGCTCCCGCTCCTCTCGCTCTTCATCATGCCTGTCCGCCAACCGATCCCCATGTACTTTGTGGCTTCCATTGCAGGCGTCGGCTTTGGCGCAGCATACTACGTTCCGTGGTCGATGCTCCCGGACGTGCTCGACGAGTACGAGGTATGCCACGGCAGCCGCCACGACGCCGTCTTCTACTCGCTCTTTGTTTTTTGCAAAAGTTTGGCTCGGGCATCACCCTTGCGGCCTCTACTTACGTCCTCTCGCTTGGCGGCTACCGCAATCCGCCATCCAAGGCTGAGAAGGAGGCCTTTGGCTGGCCCGACGACGTGGACCAGCCGTCGTCGCTCGACTTGACCCTCCGCTGCCTCGTCTCGTTCGCGCCTGCTCTCTTTCTCTCAACATCGCTCATCTTTCTCTACATCTACCCTATTTCCGAGTCGCAGCGCAAGGCTAACAAGGCTGCCCTCCTCGCTGCCGCTGCAAATCGGCCTGTTGTCGCTCTTCGCGACGACGTCCCCCTCCTCTCCGGCCGCGGCGTGTGATCTCTGCTCATGTCGAGCGTGGTGACGAGTATACAGCTCTTGCACGTCGTGGAATCAGCGACTCTAGATCCACACATTGAACACAATTGTAGTCTTGACCATGATTGTACCTCACCCCGCCCTGCGAGTCTGGGCCTCACGGCCACCGCTCCTGCCGCTGCCGCCGCACCAAAGACAGAGCCATGTCGCACCAGCTCCAGCTGTGGCCGTGGCCAGCAGTAGACACACTCCAGTCCGTCATCACCCCACTCCCGACCCCATTGTCCATGTATGTAGCACGCACCACCTCTCGTTCACATCCCCACCCATGCCCGCCCCCACCATCCCCCCCATCCCCATCCCCATCACCGCCACCAAGCCCACCACGCCATCCATCCATCCTTCCCAACTCACTGCTCTCCTCACACACAGGGCAATGCACGACGAGGACGACCTGTGGGCAGGCCTGGGAGACGAGCTGGACAAGGACCTTGCAGAGGTGACTGCCGTGGAGGAAGAGCTGGTGCCAGAGGCGCTCGAGGCGCTGTTTGCGGGCAAGTCGCGGGTGGCGACGGCGCCAGGGAGTGAGGACGGCGACAAGGATGTTGTGGAGGCTGCGGGCGGAGAAGGAGATGGTGGCGACAACGAAGATCCGGCAGAAGAGTCGGGGCATGTTGTCGAGACGGCGTCGTTTGAGAGCTTGGGGGTGTGCAAGTGGCTGCGGTCATCGATGGCCGGGCTGGGCATCGAGGCGCCGACGCCTGTGCAGGTGGCGACGCTCCCGGCCGCCCTGGCCGGCTCGGACGTCATCGGCTCGGCGCCGACCGGGTCTGGCAAGACGCTTGCCTTTGCGCTGCCTATTCTGGATGCGCTCTCGCGGGATCTGTATGGGATCTTTGCGCTGGTGCTCACGCCGACGCGCGAGCTTGCGATGCAGATTGCGGAGCAGTTCCAGGTTGTGGGCAAGCCACTCGGAGTCCGTGTCACGACGGTGATCGGCGGGCTGGACATGATGACTCAGGCGCGGGAGCTCGCGAGCAAGCCGCACGTGGTCATTGCCACCCCGGGGCGGATGGCCGACCACGTGCTGTCGTCGGGCAACGTCTCGCTTCACAAGGTCAAGTTTCTGGTGCTGGACGAGGCGGATCGGCTGCTGGAGCCGTCGTTCTCAACCGCACTGAGCACCATCATGGACGCGGTGCCCGGGCGCGAGCAGCGGCAGACGCTGCTGTTCTCGGCCACGCTCACTCCGACCATCACCGACCTGATGGACAACGTTCTGGTCGACGCTGTCTTCTACGACGCATCCAAGGACAAGCCGGCGTTGCTCTTGCTGAGCGAGTCACCCAGGAGTACGTCTTCCTTCCGGCCAAGGTCAAGGAGGTGTACATGGTGCATCTGCTTCGTCAGCTGGCACCGCAGTCGGCCATGGTCTTTGTCGCCAAGTGCTGGACCGCCGAGCTCCTGTATGAGATGCTACTTCTCCTCGGCTTCCGCGCCGTGACTCTGCATGCGAGCATGACTCAGCCTCGGCGCCTAGCGGCGCTGGGCAAGTTCCGCGCCCGCACCGCAGACATCCTGGTGGCGACCGATGTCGCCGCCCGTGGTCTCGACATCCCCACCGTCGATCTGGTCGTCAACTTTGACATCTGCCGCAACCCAGCCGACTACGTCCATCGCATCGGGCGTACCGCTCGCGCCGGCCGCGCCGGCCTTGCCCTCTCGCTCATCTCGCAGTACGACGTCAAGCTCATCAAGCGTATCGAGGCTACAACCGCCATCCAGCTCTCCGAGCGCGAGGTCGACGAGGATGCTGCGCTGATGAACATCAACCGTGTCAGCACCGCCATGCGTGAAGCCAAGCTCATGTTGATGCGCCGCAACTTTCAGGCCGTCGACGATGCCCGCAAGAATGCTGCCTATCGCAGCAGCTCTGCTCGCGCCCGTGATGCCAAGAGCAAGAACAAGAACAAGAGCAAGAGCAAGGACACGGGCAAGGGCAAGAGCAGGGCCAAGGGCAAGGACAAGGGCGCGCCGAAGCGTAGGCGATCGCACGGCTCGGGGAGCAAGAGCGTGAGCCGCAAGAGAAAGAAGCACAAGTGAAATCAATGCTAGTAGTATGCTGCCGGGACAAGGCTGCTTTCTATATTGGCTGAAGCACGGCATGGCAGGGCAGCTCGCGCCCGATCCGAGGGTTGTCGATCTCTAGCCAGAGCATAGCGTCCGCTTCCAGGACTGCCGCTTGAGGAGGGTACGTAGTTGGGCAAAAAAGAAGAAAGAATGCGTTACTCGGTATTCCCGTGTGGTCCCCCACCACAGTACTAACCAAGCCTCATGCTGCTTGACTTCCGAGAGCGAGACGGGATCGGGTATTTTCAGCATAGGATGAACGCATTCGATGTCGGAGAGTGTGCGTGACACTCATGTGGTGGAGGGTGAGGGTGGAGGGCGGCCGTAAAATGGGTTTGGATAATTATGTCCAGCCTCTCTCGTCGCTACTTTTGCACGTCCTCGTGGAGACAGCAGTTTCAACGCCAAGGGGGGAAGGGGGGGGGGGGGGGGGGGGGGGGGGGGTCTTGTATGGTTTACAGCTCATCGCGATCATCGGCAGGCTCAGCAGCGTGTTCGGCAGCGTCAGCACCAGCATCAGCAGCATCAGCGTCAGCAGAACCGGCATCGGCATCGGCACCGGCATCCTTGTCGGCGTCGGCGCCAGCATCAGTCGCATCAGCGTCGGCAGCCTTGGTCGGCTTCGCGGCCTTTTTGACGACGACAGCGCGGCGGACGTAGATAAACCACGAATACGTGCCGGTAGCACCTTGCGGATCCTTAACCACAAGGTCGACAGGGTGGTGGCCCAGCGCGTCGGGCTCGCCAGAGAGAACGGCAGTGCCGTTGCCAAACGACTCGAGCGAGGCCCAGGTCGGAAGGGTGGTGGCGTCGACGGCGAGGTCGGCGGCGTCATCGTCGACGTCGGTGACGTTGAAAACGTAGGTGTACGTGTCGTTGAGGCGAGCTTCGTTGGAGGGCTTGGTGGTGAAGACCGGCGGATCGTTCTCCTCAGGCGTGTCCTCGGGCACGGGCTGGGCCGGCGGAACCGGCTTGGGCTTGCGGTACGAAGTCGGCATGGGCTTGCGCGAGTACCAGGTCATCTTGCGGTTGATGGTATCGGCCTTGGCCTCGAGCGCCTTAGTGAGGAGAACCGGGTTGGCGGTGAGCTCGAGAGTGTCCTGCTCGGCACCAGTCTCGGCCAGCCAGTCAGCCGTCCGGTTGATCTGGGAGGCAAAGGCGGCGAGTTCATCACGGGTCACGCGCGGGTACTCGTGCTCGGCCTCGAGACGGGCGGTCTCGTTGGTGAACTTGAGGAGCTTGCGGCGGGCACGCGTGAGCAGGGTGGCGAGGGCATCGCGGGCGGCGGGCCGGGTCGCCATTTCGCGGGCACGCATGTGCATGTCGGCGGTTTCGGTCTTGAGCTCGGCGAGCTTGGCGGTGTAGACCTCGGTGGTCTCGTCCTCGCCCTCATCGTAGAGCCAGTCCGAGAGCTCGGAGAGCTTCTCCATGAGCGCATCACGCTCATCCTCGGTCGTCACCTCCTCAATGTCCTCGTCCCACAGCCGCTCTTTGGTGGCGTAGATGAAGGACTCGAGCGAGTTCTTGGCCTCGGCCTGGTCGCGCTTGGCCTTGTCGGCATCAAACATGGCCTGGAGGATGCGGCGCGAGTCGACAAAGTGCTCGGCCTCCATTGCCTGCATGTGGGCGCCCGCCACACGCTCAACCGACAGCGGGATCTTGACCATCTTGGTCGTGGGACCTGCAGGCTCGGCGGGCTCGGCGGCGCCGACATCGGCGTCGGCGTTGGCGTCGGCGTCGGCGTCGGCGTCGGCGTCGGCGTCGGCATCGGCGGCAGTGTCAACAGCAGCGTCAGCGTCGGCGCCGGCATCAGCGGCAGCCTCGGCCTCCACGGGCTCGGTAACGTTGACGTACAGTGTGGCCTTGGTCACAACCGGCATGCTTGACGCGTCGAGGTGGAACGAGACCTTGATGCGCGGAACAGTGCCATCGGTCATGGTGTCAGCGTGCGGGGCGGCAGCGTCGGCAATGCCCGAGACGCGGTAGGTGGCGATGGTGGAGAGCTCAGGCGCGTCAAGAGAGGTTGCATCCGAGTAGACGAGCGCAAAGTCAAAGTCGCTGTCGCGGACAAATGTCATGGCCTTCTTCGAGTCGAGCTTGTTGCCCTTGGGGAAGACCGTGACAGCGGTGGCTTCGCCAGACACGGCGTCGGCGTAGGCGACATCGATGGGGTGGAGGAGGCGGTCGACAAAGGCGATTTCCTTGACGCGGAACGACGACGAGAGGCGGGCGCCGTGGAAGGCGGCGCCGAGGACGGCGGCTTCGTCTGCGTTGACATTCTTCTCGAGCGAGTCGCGGCCCAGGAACTCCATCAGCAGCGACTGGATGCGCGGGATGCGCCCACCACCGCCGACCATAACAACCTCGTCGAGGTCAGCCGGCTCGAGGCCGAGTTCGGCGAGGACCGCCTGCAGCGGGAGGGTGACCCGGGCGAGCAGGTCTGTCGACGCCAGCTCAAAGTCGTCCCGGGTAATGTGGCCACGGTAGTCGGCGTCGCCCACAAGCGACTCGATCGAGGTGTACATTTCAGTGTTGGCCGAGAGCACCTCCTTGACCTTGGCGGCGTAAAGGTCGAGCTTGGCCATGGCGCGAGCCTTGGTGCGGACGTCAAAGTCGACGGCGTCGTTAAACTGGTCCGCCATGATCTGGACAAGGCGAGCGTCAAAGTCGCGGCCGCCGAGGCGGCGGTCGTAGGCGACGGCGCGGACGTCAAAAGCGGTCACAGTCTTGTTCTTCTTGTTCTTGTATCCGTACTTGACGGTCTTGCCGTAAAAGTCGACGACGGTAGCAACGGTGGCTCCGGCACCCATGTCGTAAAAGGCAACACGCTTCGGCGCGTCGGCAGTCTCGTTAAACGTGCGTCCGAGCGCGTAGTTGAGCGCGACCGCAGTGTTGTCGTTGAGGAGCGAGCGAACCCGGAGGTTGGCCAGCTTTGCGGCGTCAAGCACGGCCTGGCGCTCCACGGCGGTGTAGAAAGGCGGAACAGTGATGACCGCATTCTTGATGTTGACTTCGGCAAAGTCCGACGCCGTGCCCGCGAGATAGCGCAGGACGAGCGCGGTAGCCTCCTCAACAGTGAGCGACGTCTCCGAGCCGGGCTGCGGAGCGTAGCCGATTCCGCCGCGGCCATCGCGGGCCTCGACGACCTCGAGCACCGTGTTGAGATCCTTAGCGTGCTCGACAAGCGGTGACGAGATTGGATGGCCAAGCAGCTGCTGCATGGCCCGGATGCCGCCGTGCTTGGGCGAGCGGGTGGCAAGCTTGAGCGCAGGGCTGCCGACCATAACCTCATCCTCGTAGAACGCCACATTGGTCGGCGTCTTGCGCCGGGACTCGACATTGAGTACAACCTCCATCGGCACGCCCGGCTTGACCAGCGCAACCTTGGTGTTGAGCGAGCCAAGATCAATGCCGATGACGTTGGCCTGGACCATGCTCGCTGCCAGACACTGCCCGCACACCGGTCCGTTCGCCCACGTGAGTTCCTCTCGCCATAGAGCCCCCACACCCACAACCAAGCAGCGATACAGGTGCAAGCTGCAAGTCCGACGAAGCTTGGGCTCATTGGCGCCCTCGATGGCTGCAGCCAAGTCGACAGCGAGCACGACAGCGGGTCTCCGCTGTGGGGAACTAGGTGCTCAGGATCGATTCATGAAGTCAGCACTGGCTGGGTCCGGGCAGCCGCGAGGGAAGGCAAGGCGACCCATAGTGACGAGAGAGGCAGTTGGAAGGGAAGTGGAGAGGGGAGAGGGGGGAAGAGGGGGAGAAGGATGATATGGGCGAGAGAGTAAGGAAGCGTGGGAGAAAGGGTAGCCCAGCGCCACGTACCAGAGCCAGTCCGGCGAGGATGGCGAGCGTCGCAAGTTTCATGACGCTTGGACTTGACAGACGGTGAGAGTGGAGTGGCGCGGCGAGCCGATGGCTGGGCCTGGGCAAGCTGGTACCTGCTCGGCCGAGGTGCGGAGAGCTTGAGGGGGGATGGAGGCTTGGATTGGTTCATTTGATGAGGAGTGCATTTCTCAAGGGAATGAGGGTGATGAAGGTCTCATCGTTTGGTCGCATCCGCATGGGTGGGGGGAGGGGTGGAACGGGGGAGGGGGGGGGCGGTCGACAGCAGTGTCGAGCTCGCGGCGGTGGCAAGACGTGTGCAGCCTTGGCGGACAGGAAAAGACGAGGGAGAGGGAGAGGAAGGGGAGGTTAGCGATCGAGGGAGCGGCCAGATCGCATGATGCGGACAAAGGCGTCCTTGTCGACAAAGAGGTTGTGGATCGAGTCTGCGGGCTGGCGGCCTGCGGCAGCCTGGGCCTGGGTCATCATCAGCACCAGCTGGTCATCGGAGAGATCCTCGCCGAGCTCGTGAACAATGGCGCGGAGGTTGTCAAGCGTGAGAACGCCCGAGCCATCTGTGTCGAGGAGGGCAAAGCCCTTGGTCAACAGCGAGTCGTTGACGTCCTCGGCGAGCTTGTAGGCCATGAGATCGACAAAGTCGTCTGCAGTGAGGCCAAGAGGGGCATCAAGCGATGAGCCATTGTACTTGTTAAGAATGAACCGAGCCTCGTCTGGGTACGGCGGAAAGCCGAGCGCCTGCAGCGCCACATGCAGGTCAGCCTCGGACATGCGCGGCTCGCCGCCGCTGACAATGTCCTCATCAGTGACAAAGAGGGCAAAGGCTTCACGGACCTCAGCCTCTTGCTCGGCCGTGAGGCCCAAGTCGGGCGTGTCCATATTTGACATGGTACACCTGGAAGAGGTGAAGAGAGTGAGGTGGAGTGGCGGGGGGGGGGCGGGTGCAGGGGGTGGGCGGCATAGGCGCGGTCCCTGGCGCTGGGAGTGTGTGTGTTGGCAGGCGGGAGGCGGGAACGGGGACAGGGACTTGGGGGGGGGGGGTAGAGGGGGGAGGGATGGCATGACGATGGGTGAGGCGATGGATGGATGGGGTGATAGATGGAAGGAAGGGGAGGAACAGTCTGCGATCATTGGCCACCATGGCCACCATCCACCAACGGGCGGCTGGAGGCGGGCTCGACTCGACCGAACGATGGAAGCAGTGACGGCAACAGCAACGAGCCGGCCAACCTTGCCTACCCACCACCATTTGACGCTGTCGGCAGAAGAGCTAGCGGGCCAGACCGGTCAAGTCGAGTAGCAGACAGTACATAGATTCACACACACACACACACACACGCACGCACACACACACACATACAGATAGAGATACTTAGTTATGGTACGTGGTGTTTGGAGTGTCGAGCACGGGTCAGGTCGGGTCGACAAGGTCGCGGGGGCGTATGGCCGACCGACGTGGCGATGGACGGCCAGGAGGGGGGAATTTTTGGACGCCGGGGACGAGTAGCAGAGGAGGTCAACAGAGCGGGAGAAAGAGAGGGAGGGAGGGGGGAGTGGTGCTGGGGGAGGGGGGGGGGGGGGGGGGGACTTATGAAAGGGTGGTGTATGGTGGAGCGTGTGCAGGTTGTGCTCTCGGCAGCGGTGTGCACCAAGCAGGGGCGGCCGCTTGTGGCGAGGCAGTTTGTGGCGATGTCGCGAGTGCGGGTGGAGGGCCTCCTGGCAGCGTTTCCCAAGCTTGTCAAGAGCGGAACGCAACACACGTATGTGGAGACCGAGTCTGTGCGGTATGTGTACCTGCCGCTGGACCAGCTGTACGTGCTGTGCGTGACGAACAAGGGATCGAACATCCTGGAGGATCTGTCAACGCTCCATCTCATCTCCAAGCTTGTGCCCGAGTACTGCGGCGGGACGTCCGAAGCTGCGGTTGCAGCGCGATCATTTGAGCTTGTGGCGGCTATCGACGAGGTGCTGACGATGGGCATCCGCGAAAAGGTGACCCTCTCACAGGTCAACACCTTTACCATTGCCAACTCGCATGAGGAGAAGATCTTCGACATGGTCCGCGAGAACCGCATTCGCGAGGTCAAGGGTATCACCGACCGCAAGATTGCAGAGATGGAAAAGGCCAAGAAGGACCGGCGGGCGTTTGGCGGTTCGGGGTCGGCGACGGGCTTTGGGTCGGGCTCGGGCATGGGCTCCAGCGGAGGCATGGGCTCCAGCATGGGGTCTACGCCCGGCGGCTTTGGGTCGGGCTCTGCAGGCGGGCATGGTGCGGGCAGCGCGTCGATGTCTCGGCCTGCGGCGCCGGCTGCAACGCCTGCACCTGCGCCTGCGTCGTCGAGCACGGGCATGAAGCTTGGCGGGCGCGGCGGCAAATCGTCGTCGCTGCTTGCGCAGATGAAGCAGGAGGGCGCGTACTCTGAGAGCGACGCGGTTGCGCCGCTGACGACGCTGGACGCGCCGGTCGACGACACGCCCAAGATGGGCGTGCATGTGGTGCTCGAGGAGACGGTGGCGCTAGTGATGGAGCGCGACGGCGGGGTGCAGTCAATGGAGATCAAGGGCTCAATCTCGCTGGTGGTCAACGACGCAGCGTCGGCACGGCTCCGGGTGGCCACTGACGTCTCACGGGCGGCAAAGTTCAAGTTTACCACCCACCCGCACATCAACAAGGCGCTCTTCTCCAAGCAGAACATGATCGGGCTGAAGGACCCGGCCAAGCCGTTCCCGACCTCGGGCACCCCGCTCCAGGTCCTGCGCTGGAAGCGGGTGTTCGACTCGGAGGATGACGTGCCGCTGGTGGTCACCTGCTGGCCGTCGTCGGACACGGTCTCGGTCCAGTACGAGCTGACCGACACTTCGCTCTCGCTCTCCAACGTCATGATCGCCATCCCCATCCCCGGCGGCTCCGCCCCTTCGGTCGAGCAGGCCTCGGGCTCGTACACCTTTACCGGCGACGCCCTCATTTGGTCGCTACCCATCATCGACGGCGACAACGCGTCGGACACGCTCGAGTTTTCGGCGGCCGGCCTTGCCGACGAGCTCTACTTTCCGGTCCACGTCGCTTTTACGGCCCCGGCTCCACTCTCGGGCGTGGCCATCACCGATGTCGTTGCCGCAGACTCGGGCGCCCCTCTCGGCCACTCGACCCAGGTTGAGGTCAAGACTGGCAACTACCAGATCATCGATGCGTAAACACCCTCCCTGTTTATGGACTCTTCGCCACCAAGTGTGGCCGCGCCGTCTGTAGCGCCTCGACGTAGGTGAGCTTGCACCCGTCGAGCACGTTGCGGTCGAGGAGCTTGACGCCCGAGTCGAGGTCGGGCGTGTTGGCAACGAGATCGAGCGGAACGACGTAGTGGTAAGGCTCCGAGTCAGCAAAGGCGAGCGTGGTGGCGTAGGCCGAGTGCGGAGTGGTGAGGGTGAACGGCGCCGCCGCCAGGGGCGGGCTCGGCACGCCGTCGGTGCCAACAACAACCGCACCCGACGCCGGGTTGTCTATAACCGACGCCAAGAGTGCCACAGCCGGTCCGCGAACTACAGTTCCGGGCCCAAGCGTCGAGTGCGAGACCACAAGCTTGTCGTCCACCACAAACTCGATGGCGTCGTCGGGCAGAGCCAGCGCCAGCGTGGATGAGGTGATCACCACGATGGCGTGCGGCGTGGCGAGGTCAATGCGGAGCGTACCGGAGCCGGACACGGTAGTGTCGACAAATACAACGCGGGCGCCGGACGAGCCGCCCGTGACAACCAGCGAAATATCCGGTTCGATGGTCGAGTTGTAGGCGACAACGGCGGCGCTCGAATCGGACGGCGGAGCGAGGGAGGGCACGGAGTGGGCGGCGAGGCCTGCGATGCGGCGGCCGGCCGGGGTAACCGCGCGAGCGACGAGTGACTCGAGGTAGTACCGCGGCTCGCCCATGTCGCACACCATCGAGCCAGAGCCAAAGGTGGCGACACGGACGGTGCGAGCAGCGAGCCAGGCTGATGCGTCGCGGTGGATGATGGCGGCGTGGGCGGGCGGAAGGCGCGAGGCCGCCACAAAGTCGGCCGCAGGCTGGAACGGGGCGGCAAAGAGCGTGGCGTAAAAGCCAAAGGCATGGAGCTCGGCGACGTCGTCTTCGGTGAAGAGACTTGCCAGGTGGGTGATGCTGGTCTTGGCGAGGGCGGCAAACATGATGTTCTCCAAAATCTGGCCCGAGCCGCTGAGCTCGAGCAGCGCTGGAAGCGACGGCTTCTCCACAAAGTGGACCAGGGCCCCGGTGTCGTCGACAAGCAGGATGCCTTTGGACGAGAGGCGGGCGAGCTCGTGGGCTGCGGCGCGATAGGAAGCGATGGCCTCGGGTGCGTCCGGTGCAAGATCTGGGATGAGTGAGAGGAGGGCGGCAAGAGCGTGCGGGGTGTCGAGGCTCGCCCAGTCAGGGACGGCGGCGGGTGCGGTGGCGCGGAGGAGAGCCAGCGGCGAGGTCTGGTCCGACGAGACAAGCGGCGAGTGCGGGTGGGTAAATAGAACTACGTCCGCATCGGCAGCGGCGGGATCAGAGGCGAGCGGGCCGACCGGCAGCGGAACGGCGAGGGTGACGGCGGCGGGCAAGATGTCGTAGTCAGAGGCGGTGAGGAGGGCCCATCGCGCGGGCTCGCCGCCTGGAAGCAGCGGGGCGATGGCGTTGAGCGAGGCGAGAGACTCGATCCAGGCGAGCGAGCCAAGGAGCGGGAAGAGGCCCTGGTAGCCGTAGCGGAGAGTCAGGGCGTAGTTGCGCGACTTCTTGCCACCGTCGAGGATAAAGGCGAGCGGCGGTGAGGATGGGTCGGCCCACGCTGCGTGAGGCAAGACCGCGCGGAGCATGTGCAGGAGGCCGACAAGGTCGTGCTTGTACGCGGTGGGCGCCTCGGGCGAGAGGACAAGGTCGACAGCATCAGCGAGGCCGGCGGCAGCAAGGGCCGAGCGAACGGTGGTGGCGTAGAGGTCCGCCGCACCTGGGAGGAACTCCTTGAGGTTGGTGGCTGCAGTGAGAGCCGGCGAGGACGAGCCGGTGAGGCTCACGGTAGCCGCGAGCCGAGCGTCTGCGGCGGCAGCGAGCTCCATGTATGTTACTTAGTGCTAGGCGGAGACTCTGGGCCGAGGCTCAGCGAAAGGCCGAGAGGCGTGTACCGGCCCGACGGGCCGAGACCGCGGCCGTGGTCGTGGCCGAGGAAGACATGGAGAGCGACGAGCGGCTCGATGCAGGCCGATGGGCACCTGAGACCGGGGCCGAGGGGGGCGAGAAGGCGGCGAGGGTGAAGAGCGGCTGCGAGGGCGGACGGGTGGACGGCTTGGCCGATCCGGCAGCAAAGGCTGAGAGGGCGGCGGCGGTGGCCAGCGTGGTGGGCGATGACTGGACAAGGCAGAACGGTGAGGGCCCGCGGCGGGCAAGTGGGCGGGGAGCGTCGGGCTGGAGGCGTGGGACGGCGGCAAATGCGAGTGGCGGCGCGGTGGGCGCGCGGGCGGGGAGCGCCGCTGCGGACGCGCCCGAGTGGGGAGGCGGAGCGGGGAGCGACGATGGGCGCGGAATGAGGAGCGGCGGCGAGACTGAATGGTTGGCGGAAGCGGCCGAGGG